AAAGTTCGTAGGCACTTCGAATTAAAAATTGGGTTTCATACTTTTTAGCTTAAAAACTCTGTAGTTGGAAGCTCAACTTTAAAAAAAAAACGGTATATATGTAATATTGATATGATATGAAAGTTTATAAAAAGTCATGAATTTAGTTATATTACTTGTAAAAATTGAATGTAAAAAACAGTTATAACAAAATTGAATGGAAAGAGATTAATGTTTTTTTGTGGGTCCTTCGACTGACAAGCGTTACATCGTGATTTGTTTTATATCATTCTTTGAATTTTCTTTTTTTCTTTCTTTGGACAGTAACCCTTCCAACTTTTTCCATTTTTTCTTTGAAATTTTAGCCCCTCAATTTGATTTCCAATATAATAAGTAATGAGATCAGAATTTATTTTTTAACATTTTGAATTCCTAGTAAATCTGAGTTCCTGATTTTAATGTAGTTTGATCTAAATGTCTCATTGCAGAATTGAATGATCTATAATCCAATCATGGATTCTAAGTTCTAACCAAATGTGCATTCAATCGAAGAGATAGGAAATGCAGTTTGGTCTTGTTTCACAATTGAATGATTTATATTAGATTCTCACAATAATAATAATGTATTATTGTGCATTCAATTGAAGACACTTAAGTCAAACACTTTGAATCTCTTTCGTAATATTAAAATCGGTTCAATTAGATGAATTTGTTGGATTATGGAACATTACATTTTTAAATATATTTTATTAATTAAATAAAGAAAAAATCAGGAGTCTGCGTGGTAATATTGAAATTGGTTGAATCGATTGATGCACTTGAAATTGACGAAATTCTGGTTAAAGTGGATGAATCAGTTGAATTATCAAGAGCTAAAATGATCTTCTTCAGTAACTTCAGCTAGAAATGTAGCTTTAACTTTATTTATTTGAATTATTACACAATTCATTGTACAAAATCAAATGTGTGAATGTGTCATGTTTTATTTTTGTGAAAAATGGGCTGATAAGATTGATAAGGCGAAAAATAGAGTCACCAGATATCTTGGCCAAGGTTGGGTTGGGTCCCAGTCTTTGACCGGTCAATCTCAGGTGTTAAACAGTCCACTTAAAAGACTAAATTATTGTTTGCTTCGTTTTTGGATTGTTATCTTGGTAGAATAGCCGTGACTCTCCATTTTGAAAGATAATTTACCAAATTTCATTCAGTATGTGTCTTTCGGAAGGAGTTTCTTGACCAAAAACTATATACCCAGCCTGTTTGCAAAATAGCAGTATTGAAAATTAGCAGTGCAAAAGAACCATCTCCTACACCGTTTACTCTTCCTAAAATCCCTGTCTTTGAATTTGCAGAGTCTTGTCATCATGAACAAATTTGTTCTATCTCGGAAGACATTTGCTCCGTTCGTCGGGTAAAAATAATGAAAATAAGAAGAGTAATTCGTAAAGAATGTGCAAAGGAGAAAACTGAATGAGTAGTATTATCTCTTCATGCATGATATGATCGACAAAGCCCTTAATGCTTATGTATAGGGGGATGGTCAAAGAATACAAGGAAAGTAGATAAATTAGGAATGTAATAATCATGGCTGTATCCCATCAAATGTATATGATGGGGGTGTTTGGTTAGGAGCTTTTCAGCCATTTTTTGGCTGGTTTGATTATGGACATGTTTGGCACAACTAGCTGAAAAGATACTTTTTAATAAATGTTAGCTTTTAGTGACTGAAAAGATCTTAAAAAGAAAAAGTGGTAGCTGTTTGATAAAAAGCTGACTGTTTGATTTAGCTCGGTTTGGTATACAAGCTGTTGGGATTAATTAATACTAAAAGTCACTAGCTTTTATTAGATGCTACTCCCGGTAGCATCTCAAAAAAGATCTTTTAATTTTTGAAAAGCTCTTAAATATTGTCATGCCAAACACACAACTAGAAGCTTTTAGGAACTTTTTGAACAGTACAAAAGCTAGAAGTCAGGGACTTATGTCCGCCAAACATAGCCTATTATTGACGTTTTGACCAGATCAAATAGCCAACATATGTGTTTGGTGAAATAGCATTTTGATTTGGCTTTTGGACCCTAACAGCCGGAATGGAAAACAGTGATAAAAGTAGCATTTTGATTTGGCCGTTCAGTTTTCGCCGTAATAATCCCAATATAGCCCGCGTCCATTTTCTGCGAGCAATCTTACTCGCAAGCTTCTTCTCGTCAAAGGACCATCAATTGAATAAATTAATAGAAGCCTTCATCCATTTTAAAGTGATCAAACTTGTCGAAGTGTATCGCATTGGTAATAAAAGCGTAAAACTGTGAACCATTGAAAATCTAAATAGTTTTTGCTGTTAAAACTGTTTGTCAAACTTGAATTTTTTTTTAATACATGATTTTTTAAAAATAATTATTACTTTTGTAATTAAGCTTTTACTTTTTAATCATTTAAATGGTTTAAATAATTGTACGTACTAATAACATAACGGAATGTCCCTCCAAAAAAAACATAAGAAAATGTATGATACATAAAGTAAATTAATGGATGTCCTTAAATGTAATTTGACAAGTTATCAGCTGAGCGTAAATAGTCATTCTTACCAAACACTAATTTACAAAATGCTAATAATATCAGCCAATCAAAACAGCCAACAGAAAACGATGTTATCAATCAGCTGACACAACAGCTAACACCCAACAGCCAACAACCAATTGCCAAACACCCCCGATATAGCTACCTTTTAAAGTTATTATAGTATTGTTATTATTATTATTATTATTATTATTATTATTATTATTATTATTATTATTATTATTATTATTATTATTATTATTATTATTATTATTATTATTATTATTATTATTATTATTATTATTATTATTATTATTATTATTATTATTATTATTATTATTATTATTATTATTATTATTATTATTATTATTATTATTATTATTATTATTATTATTATTATTATTATTATTATTATTATTATTATTATTATTATTATTATTATTATTATTATTATTATTATTATTATTATTATTATTATTATTATTATTATTATTATTATTATTATTATTATTATTATTATTATTATTATTATTATTATTATTATTATTATTATTATTATTATTATTATTATTATTATTATTATTATTATTATTATTATTATTATTATTATTATTATTATTATTATTATTATTATTATTATTATTATTATTATTATTATTATTATTATTATTATTATTATTATTATTATTATTATTATTATTATTATTATTATTATTATTATTATTATTATTATTATTATTATTATTATTATTATTATTATTATTATTATTATTATTATTATTATTATTATTATTATTATTATTATTATTATTATTATTATTATTATTATTATTATTATTATTATTATTATTATTATTATTATTATTATTATTATTATTATTATTATTATTATTATTATTATTATTATTATTATTATTATTATTATTATTATTATTATTATTATTATTATTATTATTATTATTATTATTATTATTATTATTATTATTATTATTATTATTATTATTATTATTATTATTATTATTATTATTATTATCATTAATATTTTCACTATTATTAATCGAATATATTTGATTAACATTCGAATCGAATACACTGTTATTCATATTTGTATTTGATAATAATTCGAATTAAATGCAATATTGTTGTTTGTATTTGTATATGAATTTTTTGAATTCGAATAGTCTATACGAATTCGAATCGCGTATAAATATAAATTATTTGATTCGTTTACATTCTAGAAGGTGTGACCAAACTTGGAGTGATAGTGTTACTGGCCATAAGGCGAGGACTCATAGTTGAGGGCATAATATCTAGTCGAGGGGAAGAAGTATCATTCACGAGCCATAATCTAACTAAGGGGTTGTTTACTTTTTTTTTTATTAAGTCCTGAATGGATTAAGATGTCTGTCTGTATTAAGCTATCTGTCTGGATTAAGTGACACTGAGATAACAAGTTGTTTACTAAGTGAGCTGAATGAGAAGTCTAAATTATATCAAATGACCAAATAGCCCTCCTGTCTGGAACAAGAGCTCAATATATATATATATATATATATATATATATATATATATATATATATTATCTGTTTACTTTCATTGTTCAGAATAATAATTTCGTATGCCTAAGAGAATAATAGTAATAATAATAATAATAATAATAATAATAATAATAATAATAATAAATGCAGGACCTTCTTGCTATAATTCAGCAAGTTTTATAATACGGAGTAATAATAAAATGCAGGACCTTCATGCCGTCCAAACCCATCGGGGAAATGAGATGTAAATGACATTTCGTCAAAAACTGAATGAAACGATCATGGATAAATTTATAAAATTCTGTCAAATATATAATCTTCAATAGAAAGTAGAAAAATTGACGTAATAAGAAACAGAGAAATAAAGGAAATAGAAGGCAAATTAAAATAAAGAGAAAATATGAAATACACGTATGGAGAAGGTGATCGAGGGATGAAATTTGGAGATGAAATACCAATATGGCCTGATTCGTTGATCGGCCGCAAGGTCTTCGCTTAGCAGAAGATATTAACGATGAACTAGCGTAGGGTTAGAAAAGAGATAGAAGCGTCTGAAGCGTAAGGAGTCTTCAATTTGCGCTGAACGTTTAAGTCACATATGCTCTGAGCGAATAAGTCAAACTTAAAAATAAGTTCCAAGTAAACACGTGTATATAACTGACCGAATAAGTGGTTGTTTCCCTTCAGGCCATTAAGTCCAAAGTAAACGCCCCCTAAGTTGGAGCATTGTAACATTCATTCATCCGCGTCAAATCATTGATGTCCCTAAGACAATTGGTCATTTGGGGCATGCCGATTTTCAAAAATTTATTTACTTTGTTCAAAAAAATTAATTTATTTACTTTTTTCCCGGGCTGAATTTTAAAGAAATTGAAAAACAAGTGGATTAGAATGAGGCCCATTCCATGTCCGCTAATTTATGGGCTGGCAACGAATAGGGCAGAAAACGGGCTCAGTGATTGTTATACCTGTCGTTTCTCAAAGATTCCACCCGAAGCTTTAAATTAAGATCGGGGGTAACTATTCCGCACATTCATCCGCAGCGTAAAAACCCTACCTCTCGGTCTCTCTCGACTAAGAAAACTCTCTTTACCCAAGGAGCCATGGCGAGCAGTTCGGATCCTACCCTGCAGCAGAGGGAAGTAGAAGAGGAGGAATCTGAGAACCAGCCGGCTGATGATGAGGATACCGGAGCTCAAGTTGCTCCCATCGTCCAACTCCAGGAAGTCGTCGTTATCACCGGAGAAGAGAACGAAGACGTCCTTTTAGATCTGTTAGTATTTGCTTCATCTCAACATGTCTTAAATGCAGATGCTTGCTTTCTCATACAATGCTTGTGAAGTAATTTGCCTGGTTTGAAATTTCCATTGCGAGAAAGTTGTGTTTATAAAGAAAAACAATAACACACAGTACAATTTCATAGGGGGAAGTAAAATCGAGCGTATACTGTATTAGTTTAGATAGCAATGATAGCATTACCTTGTATTTGGTTATCCTACGAGTTTTATTCCAGTTTAATCTTTGTCTTTCACTTTGTCCACTCTTAGTATTTGACTATTGTTTCTTGACCACCATTTGTGGCTATATTTTAACCACCGGACATATTGGCTCAAAAACTATATATGGGCGAAAAGTAGTAGTCATGTATCAAAAGTGGTTACATAAAAACGTGAACCCATTGTGGAATTGATGAACAAATAGTGGAATTTATTTTGAATTTTAATAAATATTTGAAGTTCAAGACATGTTTTCTTTGTTATTTAAGACAATTCATTGCTTCTATTGTATAGGAAAGCGAAGTTGTACAGATTTGATAAAGAAGGAAGTCAGTGGAAAGAAAGAGGAGTTGGGACTGTTAAGTTATTGAAGCATAGAGATTCTGGAAAAGTTAGGCTTGTGATGAGGCAGGCAAAGACACTTAAAATCTGCGCCAATCACTTGGGTTAGTCTACCTTTTGCTCTTTTCCCAATTCATTTTTAAGTTCATTTGGGCGTTTCTATGCATTTTTTCTCATCGAGCATACTGTAAAGTTCTGCTTCATTTCCTGTAACATGCTATAGTTCTTCCCACCATATCAATTCAAGAACATGCTGGCAACGAAAAGTCTTGTGTTTGGCATGCTGCTGATTTTGCTGATGGGGAGCTTAAGGAAGAGACTTTTTGCATCAGATTTCCTTCTATTGAGAGTAAGTTCTCTTTTCAAGTATTGTAGTTACAAAGGATGCAACAAATTCTGTCATCGTCAATCAAGTTTTGCTGTATCAGAATAAACGTGTCTTAATTTCCATGCTGTGATCTCAAGCACTACTGTTTGGTGAAATGCTTGAATCTTAGGCTCATATCAGTATATTTCTTGAGGAGTTTATTCTTTTGCTGGATAAAGCTCCATATATGAGTTTATTCATATTCTTTTGCTGAATATGAATAGTAGATTTTGGATGCAAATGTTTGTGCTATAGTTTCTCGATGATGATTAGCCAAATTTGGCTGTGAAGATATTGATGAGGTTTATAATCAGTTTCTTGAAGTTTGGTGCGCCTTGAACATATTTAAAATATTTAAAATCTTGGCAGAGTTGGGTTATTACATTCTTATAGTGTATAGCTCAGCAATCCGTTTGGGAACCAGAAAATGCTAGAGAAAGAAAATTTAGAGAAACAAATAGTGGAAATCTAGGAGGAAACATAATTTGGGGAAAACAACAAATTAGTTATATTCAATCAATCAACTTTAGATATTTTCTAAATCTTGTTTCATTAACACATTTAATTGTTTACATAAGGACTAAGAAATCCACACACACACACACACATATCTGAAATATTTAAAAGTTCAAATCAGTTTTTATTTTATTTTTATTCTCTAAGTTACGCTTTAAAATAAAATACTGTTATACTTGGCAATATTTCCTTCTTGACCCGTTTTCTGCATTCTAAACATACCCATCAGTCCAATGTTTGAACTTTGAAGTAATCACATTGTATTGGTTGCAATTTTTTGTTCTCAAACAAAATTAAATTTCAATTGAAATTAAAATTAGAGCGGTTTCAAGTGACGTGATCTGCTTGGTATATGCCTTCAGTATTCACACAAGCACACACATAACTGCATGCATTGTTATGGATGGGCAACTTTTGCTGGTGGCTGCTTTCCTTACACCCTTACATCATTTATTTGTAGATTGCAAAACTTTCAAAGATAAGATTGAAGAAGTAGCTGAAGTTCAACAGCAGAATGTGGGTGAAAGTGAAGAGGACACTACTGCTGCTGAACTTATTGAAAAATTAAGCGTTGAAAGCAATGAAGACAACAAGCCTGAAGACAAAGATGTAGCTGCATCTGCTGATGTTAAAAAGGAAGACACTGAGACTAAGGGGAGTGATTAAAGCATTTATTTTTGTTTATTTATTTGTTATTGCTTGAGGAAGGTTTTATGACGTGCGTTCCTTGGGTGGGAAAAGTGTCTGCAGCCTGCACCCATACATACAATATATAGTTATCCAGGATTGTGTGTTGATTGGTTTGGTATTTTGGGCTTTTGAGGGAAAATCTCAAGTGTTACTCTAGGCTTGCTTATAGACCTACTATATGTACAAGCGTGCACATTGTTTCAGGGTTTATTACATTGCTTTCCGGAGATTTTGGCTGATCTTATTTTTAACGCTTTCCAAGTTCTGCCAGTTCCCTGACCCATAATCCTAGGCACCCAGACTCCCAGTGCCTAGGCGGGTTACACAAATTAATTACTGAATTGAAAACTTGATCCTGGTAGGATTTGGCTTTTCAAAAATATTACTAAAATGAAACGTATTTACCAAAATGTGAATAATAGTTACTACACATAATAGTCTTTATAGTCACATTAGTCATGGACCCGGCCCGGTTCCGGGCCGGACCCGGCTGGGCTTTTTTTTGGGAAGGAAGGCCCGGGACCGGCCCGGGTAGCCACCGGGTCCGGTCCGGGTCTGGGCCGGGCCGGGCCTCCGGTTCGGTCATTTTTTTTTTTTGCTTTCCTAACCCCCCCCACCCCCCAAACCCCTCCTAACCATCAAGCCCAACCTGGCTAACCCCAAAAAATGAAAAAAAAAAAGAAAAAAAAATCAATTTCTCCGGGCCCGACCCGGCCGGGCCGGTTCGCCAAATACAAGGCCCGAGCCCGGACCCGCCCCCCACCGGGCCTAGGCTCGACCCGGACCCAAGAACCGGGCCGGTTCTGGGCCCGCACAGTGGCGGGCCGGGCCAGTCCCGGGCCGGGCGGCCCGAACCGGGTCCATGCCTAAGTCACATAAATCTAAAAAGTAAAACATAAGGTATTATGGTCAAAGTTAGGGAAATTTGTATAATTAGTCCCGTAACTTTTGGTGGTGCCCGATATTGGTCCTCTAACTTCATTTACTTGCATAATACGTCCTCTAATTAACATATTTGTTCAATTTCAAGACATTTATGTCGGAAAGTAATAATTCCGCCAAAAATTAACACATCAGCGCCACTTATTCATATTTTTTTCATATGGCCTAACTAACCTGGACTTGGGACCCTGTTTTTGGTTCCCTCCAAAACACTCCTTATTTTAAAACATCCTGCACATAAAGAAAACACTCTCTGATTCATAAAACATTAAAAAAAAAAGTAGTTAGATTAAACTGAATACGGAGTAGTAGATTATACATCTTCAATTTATTTCTTATAAATTCCAAATATGAAATTGTAAAAATGAACATAAAGAAAAAACTGCACTTAAGGCTAATTTTTTTAAAAAATTATTGACACTTATCAAATTTAAATGCCTCCATTTGTAACCATAGAAACGGTCCAGGTAAAAGACAACTCGTTAGTTTTGCTAATCAACTATTATTCTTGTTCCAATGTCTTGTTAGAACCTTTAACATTAGATTTTTTTCTCTTATATCAAAGTAATACTACATATAAAATATTTAATTTTTTCAAGCAAAATATGAAACCTACAAATTAAAAAGTTTAGAGTTCTTACTCTGTTTCTGGAGTACACATGGAACCTCCTTCCTTCGTCATATATCAGTCTATGAAGTTAAAACACCGGCCTTCTTACCACAATAATATTCCATAGATCCTTGCCTGAGCCATTATTTGCACTTTAGAGGAACGCACACTCACCTTCCTTCCATATGTGGAGAAGCCGGACCAAGAATTACGAAGCCTCCGTTCTTCTTTTAGGTTTTGCGCTTTTATTGTTCTAATGGGGGATTTGGGAGATCAGAGCACAATGAAATGTTTGGGAATAAGTCATAAAAGGGGCCCACATCCAAGTCAGCTGCAAACGTTAGGAAAAGATTACAACAACAGGAGATAGACATGTAACTTTCCGGCCAAAATTTAACTTTCCGACGGCAATGTCCTCAAATTGAACAAATATAATAGTTGAAGGGTGTATTTTGCAAGTATGTAAAGTTATAGGATCAATATCGGCTATTGGCCAAAGTTACAGGACTCTTTTAACAAATTTCCCTCAAAGTTACCATGTTGGTCACTTTATGTAGGAGTCCATTTTTATGAATAACCTTTATTTTAGCTATATATGTGTCATTATTTTGTTAATAATGTGTCTAAAAACCGATTGTTGTACTCCGTAAATATTTTAAAGGCTGTGGCATATAGTTTTAGAGCCCGTTTGGTAGCACGAAAATCGGTTGATTTGGTTGATTCTGCTAAAATTTATGAAGTGGTTACTTTTCTGACTGTATTGGCTGTATTGGCTGATTCTTGATTTAAGAAAAAAATATTTCTAAAATATACTTCCCCCGTTCTTAAATAAATGCAACGGTTAACATTTCACACTTGTCGAGATATAACTTTGACCATTAATATATATAAATTTATATTAGTAAAAAAATTAAAAAAATTAGATATTGAAAATTTTCGACAATATTTTTTTTCATAAAAATATTTTCATACATTAATATATAAAACGTAGTCAAAGTAGAACATGTGAATAGTGTAAAATTCCATATGTTACATTTATTTAAGAATGGAGGTAGTATTTTATTAATAAAATAAAATAAAGAAAAAATTATATGTAAAAATAGCTAAAATGACCATCTACAATAACTTCAGCCAATACAGTCAGAAAAGTAACTGCAACCTTACTTTTTTTTGTTTATTACACAATTCAACGCGCGAAAGCAAAAATTACGTATTTGGTGAAACATTTGGCTGATAAGGCTGATATGCCGAAAAACAATGTTGCCAAACGGCCTCTTAGTGCACTAATTAAGCAGAAAAGTAGTAAAAGTAATGAATAGTGTAGTAGGAGAGAGATTGATAAAGTATGAAAGTAAAGTTAAAAAGTAGATAAAATAAGGGTAATGGTAAATTGGTAATTGAATATTTTTAATGAGCTTATGTATAAATTACAAGTTTGATAATGGACCCATCACCCATGCATAAACTATTGGACTAAATTTACAATTTTCTTCAATGGTCGTACTTTTCAAATATAATTATGTTTCGCCCATGCGGTAGTTTTAGTCTAATTTGATATGGTTTGATATGTTCATGTCTACTTTTAGTTTGATATGTCAGATCTTATAGATGTTTGGTCTATGTATATTTTATAATTGTCAAAGTATGATTGATAGATAAGATAGACTCAAGTAAACACATTCTAACAATTATCTGGCAATTTATATTTTATCTACTTTTTAACTTTACTTTCATATAAAAGGATGGTCATTGTATAGTAATTTAGTACGGTAGTATATTTTTGTTACTTCCCAATTTATTCTTTCCCAAATTTGAGTTTGTACAATTTATTTTCCCCCAACTTTCCAATTTCCCATGAATCCTCTTCTTTACATTTTCATCTTTTATATCAATAAATATTAATTTATATCCAAAATTAACTTCTACAACTTTCAAAATAACGTTACCTCTTTCATTAATAGCACTACATTTTGTTTATATTGACTTAGAAACATGTAATGCCTGCCAAGTGTTTGAAAAAACACCACAGTCAATATCTCATTAAAATTGTATCATTTTATCTTTTTCGTTCGTCTCATTAAATTTGTCGCATACCACATTTGATAATATTTGTATGACTCTAATTCATTTTTACTTCCTTCTTACTTTATCAATTAATTTTCAACCACATAACTCTACTTTTATTAAAATCGCACCACTCTTTTTTGTCCCAATCTTAAAAGGACGGAGGTAGTAATTCTTTTCTTGATAAAACATTTTATTTTTATTGCATTTGTATACAATTTTAGCATATGTCTAATTTGTCTTTGTTCTACATAATAGTTTTGTTTATAATGTATACTGAGTTTCTTTCTAACTATGCACTTTTGACGGACGTACTTTAGATGTTTTTTGTTACTTTTTTAGTTTGATGTTTACGGATTTTGTAAAATTGTTGAGATATACTTTTCCAATGATTTTCTATAATAAATAAGCAAACATAACTAACTTTATTAATTGAAAGTGTAATATGTTTATGAAAAAATCCATCAATATTACTCTTTAAAATGTGGTGAAGAAAAATAGGGAGTTTGTTAAGTAATGAATGATCATTTGATTCTAGTGTTATGCTCATTTGAAAATGTCAAATCAATGTATATTTTATCATGATATCACATTAGATTCACATTTTAGAATTCAAATGAGTGGATCATAGATATCGGAGTAGAAATCATAATATTCAATTGTAGGTTTTAGGGGTGTGCTTCGGTTCAAAACCGGACCGGACCGGAATCGGAACCGGATTTGAAAGAAAATAGAAACTGAAAACCGGACTGGATATATTCTGGTTTTGAACCCGAACCGAACCGAACCAGTTTAACCGGTTCAAAACCGAAACCGGACCGGAAAACCGGTTTTTAAATGATTAATTTAATTTACTAGCAAATACAACTTATTTGTTTAATAAAAATAATTGTATTTGTGACTACTAATATTACTAATACTATTATTATTTATTTAATTACTGTTATTAGTGTTAGAGAGCAAAAATTATAGCAAATTGAATGTAAAATAGTAGATATTAGTTAATACTATTATCAAGAAAATAATAATAAATAGATGAATAAAACATTATGACAATATACACTACTTATTAAAACAATCACCATTTATATTTTTATTACTATTATTATTTTTGTTATTCTATAACTATTTTATATTAATACTATTAATTAATATATTAAAAATATAACAAAACAGGTTTAATCCGGTTCGAACCCGAACGATCTGGTTTTTAACCAGAATCGGACCGGAAACCGGTTTTATAAATTTTGAAAACCGAAAACCGGACCGGATATCATCTGGTTCAGTTTGGTTCCGGTTTTTTCGGTCCGGTCCGGTTTGATTTTCCGGTTTGAACGGATTTATGAACACCCCTAGCAGGTTTATAATACTCAAGAGATGAGACTAGATTCTCAATAAAAAAATGTCTTAATGCTCAACTCGCGGAGATTACGTTTTTTATGTCAAATTGTATTTCAAAAGTATAATATTAAATTAGTTTGTCATATTGAAATTTATAGTAATTGATTATAGTTAAAATCAAGAAATTCTGATAAAAAGGTGAATTAGAAGATATGAAAAACAGATCATGCCACTCAATATTAGACCCCTGATACTCAACCGAATAGGCTTGATGCTCAATAAAAATATATTGACGCTCAATTAACAAA